ACTTACTTTCTAAAACAACCAGCTGAGTGAGAAAAAAGCTATAAAACATAGCACTACTTAAATGTCTCCAAAAGAAAATAAAAGACAATTTTATGAAGAAAAAGGAAATAATAGCATTATACATTACATTTAATCTTTCGTTGTCAACATGATATTACATGTTCGACTTCTTCCACCAGACATGAACACTCACATTATTTTGCAAACTATGGGCAATCACAAAAACTATAATATAAGGTGATTGCTATTACACATGAAAAGCTAGATAGTGTTTAACACTGCATGATATAATAAAGTTGAAAAATCATGATTTTTGATATAACACAGATAAAAGTACAGAACAAATTTAAAAGTGGTTGGCCGGATGATCATACTGTGATGATACTTACAGATGAAAGTGATGACTAATGAGTCATTTCTTGATATTGTTTTTGGAGAAGATTTCTTGTATAGTAGGTGGAGGTTTAGTAGTAGAAGAGCTTGGAGCATTTTGTCCCTTTGAAGGTGGAGGGTTTCTGGGACAAAGAACATTTTGGATTGTAATCTTTTTAGGTGGTTCCATGATACCCTTAACACTTGCAAATTAAAGGCTTTGAGAAACTTACCCTTGTTAAGGTACAATTTATAGGGTGAATTTGTATTAAAATAGTCCAACATGATGGTGTTTTGCCCACCATATATTCTCATGCATGCAAACCCTAGATCACATCAGATTCTCCTTTATTTTATATATTCAGTGTATCATACTACTGTGATATATGTACCATTATGCCAATGAATGTATACAATCGGTGATGTATGTTTGATTAAAATCAAATATAAGTAACACAAAATAATTTTACACTGCTGAAAATGTTGATTAAAATTTATTTAATGTTCTTTTAATTGTTGGCAGTTAATGTAACATCCCAAAAATACAGTGTAGAACCATATAATAGAATAATCACATTCATAATATTACATATCAGTTTCACATACAAGGGGGTACGGTTATGGCCGAATGACCTTACATAGTCACCGTGAATTTTGCAAACTTACAATCCTACGGCCAAGACCGAACGGTATTCAAAATACTCTTCCACCGAACGGTTCTACAATACAAATAAAATAGAAGCTACAGTACATAGCCGAACGGTTTACAAAATAGCTTAGACCGAACGATAATACAAAGAAAACCAAGACTGACTGAACAGTTCTACCGTTCGGTTTTCACTTCCGCTTCGACCAAAGTATCTTCCAGTGCCTCTTCCAGCAGCTCTTCTCCTTCTGTTCACATCCACACGGATGATCATTGCAGCAGGAACAAAGACAGACGAAACAACGAAGTAGACAAGACAAGAAAAGGGTAAGCTTATGTAATTTAATTCATGGCAAACATTTTCATATCACATAGGTTTCACACCGATCAATTGTACAAAATTAATCATTCATTATAGCATGTAAGAAAACAACATTTGACTCAGACCGTCCGGACTGTATGAATTATGTGTAGCTAAGACGTTCGTGCACCCGGGTGATGTAGTAACTGGGATACCCTCAACAACTGTCACCCGAGGTTAATCCGTTCCGTCCAAGTTAACCTTATGGACTAGGACCTCCTGCCATTCCCACACATGACTTACCCTCCTCTACGTGAGAAGGAGTAATCACGGAATATCAGGATGAACGCCAGCTTAGCTTTGTCCACATTCATACTTTACCATTCCAATACCATTTCATGAGATATTCCTCCACGGAATACTCTTACATAATCAAACTCGTTTTTATCCGTTACATTCATCATAATGTATTCTCAAACCAAACCAATCGCAATAGAAATTCAATATGAAGTTGAATACTGAATGATAGCCTTCAACATAGAGACGAGACCGAACGCTAGGAGTGAGACCGAGAGGTCTTCAGCTCCCAAACAAATTAGAATCGAAAGAGTTATCATCAGAGCTATGAAAGAAACCGAAAGGAATAACGTTCCATAGTAAATAACAGGACCGAATGCTATTTACAAGATGAGTCATTTCATTAAACTGACCCCTGAGAGTTCAAACCGAACACCACAAAGCCTAGGTAGAGTATTAAGACTATAGGTCGCACACCATTGATAGAGACCGAACGCTTTATAACACCGAATACTAATAACAAACTGAATGTTTTGAATAAACCGAACCTTATTTACACTTAGTCGTTAGTATGAGACTAACATAAAAGGGACCGAGTGTTAGTATAAGACTGAGCACTGTAGAAATCGAACATTATTGAGTTTGGCCAAACGCTGCTATTTTAAAAATGGTATTGATAAATTACTGAGATGAGACCGAACGCTTGGTTTAAGACCGAGCACTATTGAGAGAGAACCCGGTTTATGACCGAGCACTAATAAGTTATAAATGAAGGAATATAATCTGAATTTAATTACATATAATTTGTTTCTAACAAATGGAAGTTTCAGAATCTGGGGAAGAAGGGTTGCATGCAGAAAGTGGCACAAAGTTTGAAATTTGACATTAACTACTACCGTCACTAAAACGAACGGCCACTCTCCTGCAGCCACCTGTTTTTTACTATCCGAAATTCTGACTTTCTCTCTAGTTGACACTTGGCTTCCACTACTTGGGGTTTTTGAGTGGGTTTTAATGGATTATGAACGGTTAAAAGCTGTGTTTGTAATATTTGAGACCATTAGTGTAGTGAGAATGCCGCTCAAAATCACGATACCAAATATTAGTTTTTTAAATTATCTCTCAAACTCCGAAAGCTCAATATTAAAAAAAAAGAAAGAAAGGACAAGTACTATTATAATGTTAAGATTATATATATATATATATATATATATATATATATATGAATTTGAGTTTCATATTAAATAGAAAAAAAAATAAAAAAAAAGATTTATATTACTTTAAAATGTTGAATTTGTGGTGATAATTAATCTTTTATATAAGTATAATTCATATCTCATCAGTCTAGAACTTTTCTTGAATTTTTTTAAAGATCCAATGTTTTATAATAAATTTGACACCAAGCTCCTCCATAATTAGGAAAGGTATTTGAAAAAGATAACGTTTCAGATCAAATGTGCTTGTCTCTATTTTAAATTACCAAAACAACATTAATTTATTTGATATTTATTGTAAAGTTCATATAATTATATATTTTTTCATTATTATTTAACATTATATAGGAAAAAATATATTCTCTTCACATTGAATCTTCAATCATATAATGTTTCATTTGTTTTTATTTTTATTTAAAAATATTTACAAAATATTAGTGTAGATGTGGATAAAAACTACTTTTAAGAGAGACAAGATATAAATTTTATAAAATAAGTATGAGTTGTTGCCTTGAAATCAAAGATGAGTATAATCATTCTCGTTTCACTTTATTGTTATTTCGTAACTTAAAATAATTAAAATTAAAAATTTAATCCATAAGTCAATAAATTACAGTTTTTCAATAAATTTATAAAAGTGATCTCTTCTGATATAAATATTTTGATTGATGGGTGGAAAGATAGAATAATGATAATTTGATATAATTAAGAAAGAAAGAAAAAAGAAATTTTGTTTTATTGCGAGCTGAATGCATGTTCAAAAAGGAGTTGTAAATGCAGTTACTTTTTATTAATAAATCTATCATATTGTTTATAAATACTTTTTTTATATTGTTAATATACATATTACTATTTAGAAAGTTGATGTTTCTTGACAAAATCAAGTCTAATAAAAAAAATAAAATAAAACGTAACTTATTTAAGCCTTTCACTTTCAAACACTCTATTTGTAAGTTTTATAATTACAAGAATATATATAGTGACCATGGTCAAAATAATGTTATTCATTTTCTTTATCAGCTTTTAGATAATGGTGCAAGAATTCAGGAAAAAAGGAGAAAGATATGGTCCTGATAGAAGTGAATTTTGAAAGCATAAACTTTTTCTTTTTAAGGTTTGAATGATTTGACTATAGACTCTGTAGATCCTTAAATTCATTTGAAGTTTTTCAGCCTTTTTGACTACATTTCTTCAAAATATACATTTCCATATACTCTTTTCTTAGTAAAAGTGGACCTCAAATTTATTTAGGAGGATAATAGGTTTAAAGGATGCTTACTTTCTTGTCTTTTAGTTTAGTGCAAGAAAGAAAATAAATTCCTATAAATAAATAAACATCCATGTCCTTCTTAAAAAAAAAATATGCAAGTTCGGAAATCAATTTCTATAAGTAAATATTGGAAAAAAAGTTAAATTTTCAGTTGATTCACATATTTATCCAAAAAATTTAGTTAGTCTCAAATAAATTCTTATTTTAATTTATTTGTTTATATTTTTTTCTTAATTTAGTTCTAACTATGTTTTAAACTAAAATAATTTTATTCCTTTTCAAATTAATACTAAATTTTACTTTTATATAAATATTATAATTATTATAATAATATTTTTATTAATATATTTAATAAGATTAAATTCATTTAAGTTAACGAGATGATATATTTCAATTTGATGATCTAATTAAAATTTTCAAATAAACACGAGAGTTTAAACAAAAAAAAACCTATATAAATTTTGAAAATTCAATTGAAATAAAAATAAAAAAATATAAAATTTACATTTACATTAAATAAATATATCAAAGTTAAATCTTTTATAAAATATATATATAAAGCTAAATTATTGCTTAAACTATTAAAAAAACTATAATAATAATCAATATTAAACTTAAGCAAGAGAACTACCTCATAAATTAACAAGTAAAACTATAACAAAAAAGAAAATAATTTTTTTTATATGATATTATTTTTTATGGATTATACGGGTTAATCCGTCCACTTAGTTATTGGTCCATACACAAACTGCAAATTATAAAGAAGAGATGTAAAGAGACCAATAGATTAAAACTACTCAACTCACACTAATTATAGCAAAATGACTTACATATACTACTATACATTGTCAGTCATGTACATGAAAATAATGAAAGATAGAAATTTTATCTCCAAACTTCCAATTTCATGACTAAGGTTACCAAACAATAAACATATATAAAACATTTGGATCCGTATAGCCATTCCAAAAAAACGTATGATTTTGTTTCGGGCCGGGTTAAACAGAACCACGACTGCTTCTTCTACCCACAAGCGCGATTTTGACTACCACCATTCTGTTCCGCAATTCGGCGACGGCCAAAGCAGCTGCCATGAACCGTCATGCAGAAACCGTTTCACCACTGTCTTGATGTGGTGGTCGGCGACGAACCGCACCTACATTCCGCCGTGGCCGTTATTCTTTTTTTCCATTTCTTCTAATCTTATATTTTGGTTTGCACCTAACAAAATCTAACAATTCTATATAAAATCGCAAACATGTCATAGAAGATGGGAATAGGAAATGGTGCCATACATATTTAAAAACATCAGAAAAGAAATCAGAAGGGAGTAATCAACTAATCGACCACAACTAGTTTCTGATATTCTGAACCAGAAATTGCTGCTTCCATGGTTTCTACGGAGTCTAGCTCCCCCTCCTTGTCCAAGAACAATGTGAGCAAATTCTTAGAAAACCCACTGAGCAATGCCACTCCTTTCTGAGTTGCTGGCACTGGGGTGGCCTTCGAGTCTCTCAGATTCCAAAAAATCATCTGAGGCACCACATCGCCAAACCCTTTCTCTCCAAACTTCCTAGTGATTGCTTGGTAATCAGTCTCCCAAGGGTTTGTTGAGGCTTGATCAAACTCCATGTCACTGAACACAAACAACTTCTTTATCATCTGACCTGCTTTCAGATTCCCACTCACAGCCACCTCCAAGATCAGATCAAACATCTTCTGAAAATCAGTGTTCCCGCCCGCATCCATGTTCTTCACAAACTCCTTCTTGGACTTGAGATCATCCCCTTTAATCAAATGAAGTTCAGGGTCAGCAGAAAAAGTCACAACCTTCCCCTTCCAAGGCTCCTCACACAACTCAGACACTAACAACCCCAATGCCACACACACCTCCATGGGCAACCCGTCCATACTCCCAGACACATCACAAACAGCCAAACAACTCTTCATCGTCCCTTTCTTCTTCAAATCATCAACCACCCTCTTCCACTGCAACTCAGCCACAACCCCAGTATCCCCATTATCCAATGACCTTATGATCTGATGGGGAAGCAAAGCACCGGCAGCAATAGTACTCTTCCCTGACTTCACATCCTCCAAGTAAGCCTCAAACCTCCCCTTATCATGCTTCAAAAACTTCTCTTTATAAAATTCCATAGCCACAGAAGCAACCCTATTGTAAGGAATCAAATCCCAACGATTGGCCCCTATAAACACCTCAGGCAACTCCAACACCTTCCTCAAAGGCACCAACACCTCCTTCCTCAACCGATCACGAACTCTATAAGCATAATGCGCCTCATCAACCCCGTCGTACTCGTTATATTCCTCCCGAGGAAAAACCCTCTTCGCAATAGTTTCACACAACAAAGTGTGTCGATCGAAAGATGAGTCCACAGAGGGACACCATTTCGCGGCAAGACTGATTTTCGTCACCGACCCAGATTTCAAAAACTCGAGATCCTTCCTCAAACACTCGGCAAAATAATCAGAGACGCGATCATGAAGGAATCGAAAATCTGGGTCGCTTGTATAACGATCAACGAGCTTCTTCGCCAATGCCACCCTTTTCTCTTCTCTTGCAACATGTGAAAGTTCTTTCTCGGAAGCCTCAGTTTTGTCCTTCGCCGCGTCGACTATTTCGTTCAAAGCCTCCCTTTTCCCCTTTTGCGTCTTAGTAGTCCTACGTTTTTTTCTTCTGTTGATCATCCGCCGTTTTGCCTTGCACCGCAGTTTTTCCTTGCACCACTCTTTTTTTTTTTTAATTTCGCGGGCATCGGAACCTTCTAGAAGGAGGTAAAGGATTTCGGGGAGGTCCTTGAAGTATCCAAAGTCAGCGAGGGAGGGAATGTTAGCAGCGAGGGTTTTGGGGTGGTGGCGATGGAGCCAGATCGCCGCGCCGTAGAAGTTCCGGCGGTCGGACTTGCCGGTACCGCGGATTCCACGGAGGTTGCAGACGAGTTTTAGGGCGGTGAAGGAGTTGTGGGCCCACGCAAGTTGGAGTCTTTGGAGGAGGGTCGCTGGTGGGGTGTCCGGAACCACGTGGAAGAAGAAGTCCAGACATGGGTTCCCCGTGGTGAGAAATGTTGGGGATAAATTTTCCGTTAAGGTCATGTTTGGGGTTGATGTGGTGTTGAATGCGGACACCATTAGGTCCATGAAGGGGTCACTTGGAGTGGTGCCTGTAACTGTTGGGATTGGAGCCGGGTCGGGGGTTGGGGCTGGGGCTGTTTGGGCGAGGGTTGCGGTGGGTTCGGCGATGTAGAGTTCAGGTGGACCTATAAGGGTTGGGTTGCTCATTGTGTTGACGAAGATAATGGATTATGTGATTTTGGGTTGTTAGGTATGAGCTTATGCGAAGAAATTAGAATTGAAAGAAGAATTTAAGTTGTGATGAAGTAGATTTAGTTAGAGAAGATGAAGTTCTGAAATTTTGGAATGATTTAGACGAAGGTATGTGTAGAAAAAGGTGGCGGAGAAAGGTGAAGTGATTTCTGCATGGGATTTGCCGAAGAAGATGGTGACACGGGTGTATTCAGAGCTTACTCTTTACTTCGGAATTAAGTTTTCTTTACTTTGGAAAAAAGTCTTTACTCCGAAATAAGTTTTAGGTTAAAATATTAATTTTATTTCTACTTTGTTTTTGTTAATTCAATTTTAATATTTTTTTAATATGGTTTTAATTTTATTTAATATAAATCTTTTTGTTAAATGTAACGTGTCATGATTCTTTTAATTTTTTCATTTTTCTTAATTTAAAAAAATTACCTATCATATCAATAAAAATTACGTGTTAAGAATAATTATATTTTATATTTATTTTAGTTTTTATATTTATTATTTTTGTTTAATTTAATAATTTTTTTAATTAAAATAATTTTATTTTTTTAAATTAAGATTAAATTAATTTTTATATAAATGTTACATTAATATTTTTATTAAACTTAAAACGAAAACTTTAGAAATAGAAACATTAATATTATTAATTTAAAACTTTAAGAAGTTAAATATTACATAAATTATTTAATATTTTATGTGATTTTTAATTTAAAAATTAACTAAATTATTTAATACTTTATTTAATGATTAAGTTAAAAATCAATTAAATAATTTAATCTAAAATTAAGTATAAAATTTAAATAAAAAATTGATTTAATTTTAATTTGAAAAAAATACAAAATTATTATATTTTAAAAAATAAACTAAATTAAATAAAAATAACTAATATAAAAATCGAATTAAATATAAAACAATAATACGTACACAATTTAGACTTGACAATATGGATATTTTATTTTTAAAACAATTTAAAAAATTAAAAAAATCAAGTTACATGTAATATATATTATTTTTTTTTCTGTTAATTATTTAAAAAATATTAGTAAAGATGATTAAATTTAACACAATTGATAAAAATTAGAATAAAAAAATATATTATGATTAAATTTACAAAACCAAATAAAATAAATGACTAAATTAATATTTTAACCTATATTTTATAAATTAAAGTCTCTTGTCAAATATTACAAATTTAATAAAGTCTCTTTTAAGTGAGCAGCATGTCCCGCATTGCAAATTTAAGAGTAAGTTTAACAAGGTTGTATAAAAGAGATTTATTGTATGAATTTTTTCATTTTATTATCTAACGTCATTTTTAAGATAGTTTTATAATATTTTTGTGGTTTAAAATTCACAATTTAATTATTTTTTATTTAATTTGATAGTGTATACTTCTAATACATTAAACTTTCGTTTTACTTTTATGATTTCTTAGGTTTTATTCTTTTGGCTTAATTGGGGTGATGAGTTGGGGGAGATGATTTGAGTGGATTTGAGGTTAATTTTGTAGTTGTTTTTTTGAGTGAATTTATGGGTAATTGAGAGTGGATTTGGAAATAAAGTTTATCAGAATTAGTGTAGGATTTGATTGATGTGATAGATTTAAAAAAAATAGTGTAATTGGTAAAAATGAAAGATTACCAAAATACCCCTACTTATAATATAAAATGCCCCTATAGCCCTGTAACCAGTTACCCGTTTGCGTAACCGATTACACATGTGCCAGTCAAACGAACATAGCGTTGTAACCGGTTACGACTTTGTTGTAACCGGTTACGACTTTGTTGTAACCGGTTACGACTTTGCTGTAACAGGTTACGCCACCCTCTTCCTACTGTTCATCAGTTCATGCGAACACAACCTTAGTGATGTCAAAATGGGTTGTAACCCACAAGTCAATTCGGTGTATCACGGGTTTGAGTCAAGTTGGGTTTGAAAAAAATATGATTTTTTTTGCGAATTAGTTTTTAATCTGGCTCGCCGGGTTGAATTTATTGTGAGTCATGTTAGCTCACCAACTCACTAATTTAATTTAATTATTTATTATTTTGTGTTTCAATATTATTAGTTAGTATTTTTTATTATATTATAGATGATGACAAATAAGATATTTTAAAAGAGAAAAATATAATAGATTTATCTATTGAAGACTCTAATATTATAAATGAACAAGTGATACAAAAATTATTAATATTAAAAACTTATTTTTTTATTTATTTATTTTTGAATTATCTTTTGAGTTTAACATAATTTTAATAAAATTTATTTAAATTTAAATTAAAAATAATTATAATTTTTTAAAAAAAATTATAATTAAATGAATCAACCAGTTTAATCTTTAAATTTTTTAAATTCACTAATAAATAAGTCTAAGTTAAATTAACTCACTCGACCATAACCAAGTTATCGGTTTTCACAATTCTATAATTCATATGATGCAAGAGTAAATCCTTGCATATCTCGTCCCACAAATCCGTCACTTCATTTACCTTCAAATACTTTGAATTGACGTTATTATTCACCTTCAAATACTTTGAATTGAACACGTTATTAAATGCAAACGTACAATAAATTAAACAGAACGTAAAATTCTCACAATTTCATGATATTAAGGTGCTTTACATCACTTTATAGAGTTTCTTACAACCTTTTTCAATTGAACAGTATACATAGTCACGATTACAATGTTATACAATTTTAGTTTTTATTTTATGTAATTTTTTTCTTCGTATTTATATTTCAATTGAATTTTTTTCTTTTATTAAATTATTATTCAGAAAGTGATCATATATTGGTTATTTTTTCACTTTAACATATATTCATTTTAAAATTATCTATATAATATATTATATAATATAGGTTTAATCCTTTTCGACATCCCTGTTTATGTACGAATGTCTCAATTGGGTCCTCGTTTTCTAAAGTGTATCAAAATGGTCCTTAATTTTGAAAATTGAAATCAATTGAGTCCTTCCCGTTAAGTTGGGTGGACGACATTAAAAAAATTGATGAATGGGATGCTGAGATGGCAAAATGTTACTGACGTGGCATTGACCTGGCTTAATGGTGAGTTTTTTAGATTTAAAAAAGTGAAATTTGTAAATCAAAACGCAACGTTTTGATTTTTAACATAAACAGCGAACGACTATTGGGGACACTGGCTCCCTCCCTCTGCTTCTTCATCCTAACCCATAAACATCTCACGGCCAGCACCGGATCTTCATCTCTTTCTCTCTGCTAATTCTCTTCTCCCATACTCCTACCTCATTCACCTTCCTCGGCTCATCACTACCAACACCTCACGGACAACCAATACCCATCATCTTCATCCTACACTTCTCA